ATATATTATTTTATGTAAATGCATAATGTATCAATCAAATAAATATAATATATATCAACAAACCAATGATTAACATCGATTATGATTGTATTACCCAAAATAAAACTGCTTTCCAACAATATCCATTGGCAATCGATCATTAACATCCTAACCAATTATTCATTAGCATGATTACATTTGAATACTAACTATACGCATTGGCAATCGATTACAAACTACTTCAATTGGCAATCAATTATCAACACCCCAATCGATTAACATTGATCATGATTACAAACGATTGCAAACTATTCTCGTTGGAAATCGATTGCCAACCATGTACATTGACAATCGAGCATCAATAACCCACTGATTAGCAACGATTATGATTGCAATCAATTGCAATCAATTCTTACTAATAATTGATTAGCTATCTTATATATTGGCAATCAATTATCAACACCCCCACCGATTAATATCGATCATGATTGCAATCGATTGTGAATAGAACTCGTTGACAATCAATTGCTAACAATTTTCATTGGCAATCAATCATCAACACACTATCGTTTTCTATCGCTAGCGGTTGCAATCGATTGCTAATGATGTTCTTTGATGATTTTTGAGTGCAATCGATTATCAGCGATTATAATCGATTTTAATCGCTGACAATCGATTATAATCCCTATCAATGATGAATGATGGGGGTATTGATAATTGATTGCCAATGGGCATGGTTATAAATCGATTGCCAACGGGTATAGAAATTTCCTGATGAATATATAATAAAATTAGATGATTTTTATAATTTTATAAGATTTTATAAATTATGAAATTAATAATTTTTATAATATAATTATAATAATAGTTTATATATAGAATACTAACTGAGGTAGCAATAGTGAAAAATATATTAATAAAGAAATCTTGTTAATAAAAATTATCTTAAATTTATAATTCTTGTCATATATATTTTTTAATAATAAACTTAACTTAATTTATTAACTCTTCTTATAATTATAAGAAGAGATCCATTTAAAGATTTTTTACTATACAAATACTGTTAAAAGAACTGAAATAATAGTATTTATATTAATTATTATAAATAATCTAATATTGTCATTTATTGTGAAAAATTTTTGCAAAAAGTTGCAGAACTTGATCACTTGATATTTAAATAACTTGATAAAAATTATAAAATATGAACTTTTTAACTCTAATTAAAAAGAAAAAAGAAAATATTTGAATAATTTATAATAAATTAGTTTTTTATATTTATAATAAATCTTGTATTATATGGGATTCAGAAAGTAAATATTCTTTACACAAAAAAACAAGATTAAAATATATATGTAAATGATTTTTTAACTGAAATAATTAATCTGCTTAAAAACAATTTAAGAAAAGCAAGAATTATAATAACTTTAGAAATTAATTATAATAAGCTTTTTGAGTGATTGAACATATAATAAATATTTTTAAATAAATATATTCAGAATATATTAATATTTTTGTCTTTAATAATATTATCTCTTATATAGCTTTTGCTAAAGATACATTAGTTACATCAAAAATAAATCTAAGTTTAGAAGAATTAGTATCTAAAATATATAATACAATATGAAATAATTAGTAATAATTAATGATTATTAATTATAATTATATTATCTATAATAAAAAACAAAATAAATATTAATCTTTGTAATTAATTAAAGAGAATTCAATAAATTCTTAGTGAAAAAGAATTATAACATAATAGAATAATACTAAATTGCATGCAAAAAAAGGAATTAAATCCAAATATTATTAATTATTGTACTTAATAATTAATAGCAAATTAACCAGATTTTTTGACACAATATGACAAGATAATTTAATATAATTAATTTAATTTTTCTTAATATTAAAAGATAATTTTTATTTTTTAGATTATATTTTATTTTAAATTTCATTCAGAATTTAATTATATCAAAATATTTTGGGATGTAGCAAAAAGATATATACATGTAAATTGTGAGTATTCATTATCAAAATTAATGAAAATATTTTCAAAAGTATTTGATTCTATTTTATTAAAAATAATGATTATTATTTAGATATATGAATTTATATTAATACAGATTAACAGATAAAGCTGCAAAATATGCAATTAAAAATATAAGTCACATAGAAGTATTAATGAAAAGATTATGAATAATATAAATGTACTTTAAACTAATCATAACTATGTAATTGGTTTTTGTTTAATAATAAATCACGTGATTAATATATTACATAATCAACCAAAATTTGGTCACTCAAAAAAATATAAATGATTTATGCTGTTCTCCACTATAATACTGGTTGTCGATCCGCCGTTTTTATCAAGAATGTAAAAAATATATTTTAACTTTTTTTTGAACATATAAAATCAAAAAAGTATGAGTATTATCACCGAACTTATTATTCGTACCAGGCTTTCGGAAACAATCGAAAATTAAAGCCTATAAATTGGTGTGGTGTTTTTCGAATAATGAATCCCAATTTGAACTAATGGATTGTTATCGCCAAAGAAAGTATGACGAGAAGCAAATTAGTAAAATATCATTATCATGTCAGGAACACGAACATGAACAACACAAAAAGAGGAAATAGTTGTTCCAATGAACAAGATGAACAATTCTAGCACTGACGATATACCGCTAGATGTTCTTTATGGAGAACGTACAGATCAAACTTCAAAATCAATAAAGAAAAAACATGCTACAGACGATGTTTCCTGCGCTGCCTGCTCCGCCATAATCATTTCTTCTTTATCATTAGGTGCTGCAATTTATGGAATAATTAATTCTGATAATGATTTATCGAGATTATTGAGTGTTGTGACAACTGTTTTATTATCTTGTGTATTGATAATTAGTATTCTTCGTGTTTTATTTCCTTCTAGTAATGAGGAAGAAATAGAACTCGGTGATGGTGCTGTAGAAACAGTTGGAGATATAGTAAATAGTGTGATGTAAAGAAATTTCACGAGGATTTTTGGATGTTTGTCATAAGCAATAAATTTTAACATTACTATGTATGTGTGATGCGAGAAAAATATTCTTATTAACTTATTAATTGCTTTTAACTGTTTTTTCAAAACAAAAAAAGGCTTCATTTGGTTAATAATTAAAGTAATTGTTGAAGTTCTCATCAGTTAATTTTTTAATGATAAAGTTTTTGAGATTTAGGGTTGGTATATTTTTACGATACACTAGCACTCGCAGAGAGATGGGTGCATTACTACGAAGATGACTAATTCAAATTCCTTTATTTGCTCACTGCCTGAGTAAAGGTGCATTACCACGATGCACTATTACTCGCGAAGGCAGAGAGATGGGTGCATTACCATGAATTACTTTTTAATTTCTTTTGATTATATTAGGTTGATTGCTGGATTCATTATCATGAAGGTTGATGGATGATGCATTACCATAAAGACAGGGTGAATACATTATCACAAAGCTTGATGGATGGATGCATTATCACAGATAAAATTCATTACGAAGGTGGATGAATGCACTATCACGAAGGTTAATGGATACATTACCATGAAGGTAGGTTCGATGAATTATAAAGATAATAATGTTAAAGATAAACGTTATTTTTTAGAATACTTCTTTTCATATATCAACTGTTTTTCAGTTTATGCTTAATAAAGTTATTACCTTTACCATTGTTGACACGTGACTTGCTCTTGTAGTAAACGTCGACTTTTTCTTTGTTCTTCAAGTTATTTTGCCTAATCTATCAAACAGTTGTTGGTTTGACTGGGCATCGCCTGATTCATCCATATATAGTGACTCACTAATGTTAGAGTACTCTAGCCATGGCGAAAAAAAGTATCAGATCATGTGATATTCGGGTATATCCAGAAAAATTCTATAATAATAGATATTATTGTCAAAGATTAATTTAAGGTTAGGGTTAGGGTAGGTCCGGAATTAAGCTTATATATAAAATTTCCTTCCCGACATTTTTTATTAGTCTATCAAGCTAGATTTAGGCATCTGTTTCCCGTATTTTTTGCTTTTTCATTTTCTTGTGTCGGATTTGTTTTGCCGGGCTTATCAAAAATTTACGCATTTTTATTGGTTTGTGTCACCAGTGTAATGCATTATTTGATCATCATACAACATCTCTAATAAATGATTTGCCACAATTTTAGTGCGACATGGTAAGAGAATTTAAAGCTAATTCACTTTTTGTGTGTAGCTGGTCATTTTTTCAAAATTCTTGGTGTAAAAATGAACCACAACGCTAACCCTCAAACTCCAAAAGGGCGTGCCAACTATACCACTGAAGAGAATGCCGACTTGGAAAAATTTATAATACAAAAAAGGAGAGAAGGGTGGGCCTTGCGCGGCAACCTCGTATATATGGAATATCATAGCGAACGCCACTCTTGGCAATCTATTAGAGATCATGCAATAAACTTTATATTACCAAAGTTGTCTCTACATCCTGTTGGCGCGAACGTGACGAGTGAAAGAACGAGTGTCGAAAGCACGCCAATGGTCAACGAACAAGAACAAATACACAATACTAATACTACTACCTCTGTTCAAATAACCAACAATCAAAAACCTCAGGAAAATAGTGCCGATAATACGTCTTCTCCTGTAATTAGCACTATTGACAAATCTCAAGGACCGGGAAGTGCTCAAAACGCTTCTATATTACAAATAATCGATAGCCGTGAACTGAGGGAGCAAAGTAATGTCACACCAATTCAATCTGGATCAGGCGGTGCTTGTAGTACTCCTATAAAGCAAATACGAGGTAGCAGCAATTTGCGAGAGGAAAGTAGCTCTAGCGTCACACCAACACGTCCTGTTGACAACAACTCTAGGGAACAGAATAATAATTCTAGCACTTCAAGACAATCATCTGTTACTCTTACATCTGAAAATGATGACGATGACGATGACAGACAATCTATTGCAAATGAAAGCGATGAAAATAATCAAATTTGGAATGTACCTCCAAAAGCGATACTTACTAAGAATGAATTCAAAAATTTTCGCGATTATCTTATTTCTCAAAGAAACGCAGGCGAAGGATTATACGGAAGTCTAATATATAGACTTTATCCAGGATTGCATGCTCAATCCTGGAATTATCTACGAACATATGCTATAAAGCATATTATTCCAAAATTATCTGATGATACAAACAAAGATGGGCTCGAAGTCAAAAGATCAAAAACGACATACAGTAAGCCTGGTGCCAATTCGAGTGATGATATTTATGAAAATGACTACGAAGACGATATAATTAATATCGGTCAAATCCAAGATTATGAGAATTCGGTTTCGTCTTATGAAGATAGCGATGCTCAAACTCTAGTTTCATTTGCAACAATTGTCGAAGGAGATTCACCCTCTCCGGAACGAGTCAAATGTCATTTTATGGCTAATCACGATGCTGGTGATTATTATCCTGATGGAAGTGTAAAGACATCACGGAGAAATAAAAATAAAATTAATAATCAATCACAGGCTGTGAATAAAGGAAAAAAGGCTGTTACTTTTAACTTTAGTCGATCAAATCAAACCACAGATAACACAAGCGTCTCATCATCTGATTTTATGCCATTTTTACGACCCAACGACGATAATAACGAGTCATCAGAAATAGAAAAAATTACGACTCCTGCGAGTCGAGCAGTTTTACAAAATAATAAACAATTGTCTCCAGGAATTCAGATAGCCTCCTCAAATCCACCATATCGAAATCAGAATCGTAGCATTGCTTCCTCGTCAAGATCTACGTCTTCCATTTTGTCTATGGAAATAGATAGCGGAGATTTTCCTTTAAGTGAAGAAACAATGGAACAATTTTGCGAATCTCCTACTATCGATCATCTAAGTAGACAATACTCGAGAGATAGCACTTTGAATACTCCACTCGCTACACCTCGGTATCATTCGCAAACTCGGACATTTAATCAAATCCCATCATCTAAAGCGTTAGGAAAAAGGCCTGCTCCGTCCACAATTACTACAGATAATCGCGCTACTGACCACAATAGTCCAAGGAATAAGCGGAAATTCTCATCAATCAAAAATTTTGATTCCTCCGACCTTGAAAAAATTTCCAATAGCAAATACGGGACACAGCTCCTCGCGGAACAAGACTTTTTCATTGATCTTGAGTCAATCGCTACTGAATTCTCAGTTGATCGTAAAGAAGTCATGCGAATTGCGCACATGACTGGCTGCAATTTTCAAATGATCAGAGAATATTTTCGAAACGGCAGAAATATTCCTGGCGATAAGAAAGAATATTTTTGGTCAACTAATGAAGATATGGAGCTTCTGAGATCAAAAAATCATCAGTCCATTTCAACAATCAAAACTAATCACGGTACGAAATTGTTCTGGGAAAGATCGGAATATGTTAGCAGATACTATGCTCGAGATGCTTTTCTATGATAATGAAATAAGTGTATTCATGCTATTGAAATATTGTATACACGTTTTTTATAGGCAAAAGTTACGTATGTCCAGTTGTACAAATCATCACATTATCCTTATTAAGCACTTTGAAATATTTAATTTCTAGAAAAATCATGACTTCCAAAATTCTATTTTACTTAGCGAACTACTACATTTTTAATTTTGTTTTAAGACATTGTACATTATTCAAAGTAAATAATCATAATAATGCAATTGTTTTTATAACAGAGACAAACTTGATCAACCAAAGTGTTTGGACTTGTATGTTAGTTTAAACTATAAAAATGATTTACATGTTTGGATTAACAAAAGTTTAATGTTACACATTTTTCACTAATTGTGAAATTAGCTAATTAATGTGAACAAGAGTTGGAAAAGAGAATTAAACAAAAATAAGAATAATAAGAAAAATATATCTAAAGTTCTATGCCAATTTTTACCAAAATTGTATAATTTGAAGAGAAAATAAAATGAAAATAAATAACATTCTAATTTATGTGTTAAATACATGGTGAAACTCGTTAATCCGAAGACCAACTACGTATATATATCAAGAATTTCACATTCAAACCGAAGGTCATACAACCCAATCAAATTAACCTTAAGGTTACGCAACCAATTACGTAGATATAACAACATAACTATATTTAATTTTTTACGTTTAATCCGAAGCAAGTACAATATATATGTACGTACATAGATAGTCAGTCATATATATGAACACTCAGTGGATAAAAGTTTGGAATCGTGAGTGATCGTACATGTATTCGACATGTCAAATAACTTTTAGTGGGATAAGAGGCATGAATCGCATTTCTTTTTTTTTTTGATACGTTGTGTTCAATTAATTACGTCAGTAAATACGTACGTAAAATTAACCAATTTTTTATTCCAATGCCTCACATTTCACGAATATACGTATACACTACACTATCGCTACGAGAAGGAGGATACACGGTCCGGGAAATCGCTGCATCCAATGCCTCGCATAGAGATTGGACCCGTCTAAAAAAACACAACCCGTCGGTTAGTTCCATCCACTAGGCCATCTAATTCTTTATTATTGCAGTAGCGTGTATATTCGGACGCGTTTTTGAGAAATTCGAGGCATCTAGAATAAAAAAGTTTATTAGTAGTTTGAATGTGGAAATGTATTCTATATAAGTACGGTTAACTCTCGATATAACGACATAGTTGTTTTCAATTCTCAATTTCTCTCAACAAAATAATAATTTCGTTAATCTCCCAATTTTGGTAAAACCCGCCTGGCCCGATTTCGTTAGTCTAATTTTATTCGCTTCGAAATTCTATATTTTAATTTCGCTTTTGTTTTCTATTCTAAATTCGCTTCCGATCTCACTTTTAATCTCGCTTTTGTTTTCTATTTTTCAATCTTAAATTCTCTCCTAATGATATAAACAAAAAGATGTATAGTCCTCGCAGACGTTAACAAAAATGCAGAATTAAATTGCGTACAATTCTTCTCCAAGTAAAATTAGACTTGTAAAATTGTTGTAATTGATTGTGGTTAGGTCCTTTAGTCCAGAAAAGGCGTTGATATTGTTAAACGGCATATTGATTGATTGATTGAAAAAGCGCTTTGTGATTAAACAGTTTAAGGCTTTTAGCTAGAAAAAGCAACGATTGGAAGTTAATAGGAAGAATATTATCGATAAACTGTCACATAAACATAACCATCTTACCCAAATTTCCCTCTCTACCGTCATACTGAACGATATTCGTAGATATCGGCACAGGAATTAGAAACAAACGAATACCACACAGTTTAATCACTTCCCCAACCCATTGTTGCAGGTAAAATCGTCGATTACACCTAATTACGATCTACCCGTAACAATGTCTACGGCCTCAGTAAAAAAAATTAGAATTAAATTGCGTACAAATTAAATTTGATATCGATATTGTTATTGTTAACGGATATTGATATTATTGATTGGTTGATTGAAAAGCGCTTTTATTGTGAAGCTTTTAGCTAAAAAAAGCAAACAATTGAAAGTTAATTTTGAAGATAGAAAAAACCCATTGCATAACTTACCTAATTTCCCCTCGGAATCTCTCACGACAAATTATAACCATCGCATAGGAATTAGACTAACGAGTCTATTCCCTCCACGCTCACTCACCTCGAAGCCATAAAACTCAGAAAAGAAAGCGCGTGATTGTAAAACGTGTATCAGTCACTACAAGACGATATGAGGATAGTAAAACTGCAGTTCGAATTGAATAGGGAACGTGGGATGTGGTCCGAGATGCTGCGGACTAAATTTGAGTAATAAGCTCAGAACGAATCCGGGGAAAAGCAGAGATTAGATAAACTTGATGAGGAGAAACAGTAAAAAGAATTTGATGCCGATAAAAAATACAAAAAACAATTCTTACGAATATACAGTAAACAAAAAATCAAAAATACCAAATGCCCGGATTTGGCGCGGCATCAGTCAGCTATCAGCCAACGCTCTAATATCGGTCGTGTTATTTCAAACAATTATCACAAACTTTTTCTCCACGTTTTTTTCTGGTTTACGTCTCATTCTTTGTAGTCTCAATTTTCATCTGCTCAGTAACGCCAATAATTTTTTTGGCTATACATTCCGATAGCTGAATTATGTTTAACTAAGAAACTTTTCCGACAGTTTCCGCGCCTAAAATTAACGAAGGGAAATCACTATCCAAAAATGAGGCTCACAATCGATTTTTCGCGTGCTGCACACTTTTCACACCGAATTATTCCAACCGTAAAATTTGGTGGCAGTTCCATACGTAGTTTGGGATTGCCTAACTGAAAAATCGACACTGATGTCTACGTCGATATATTGGAAAATGCTGGAAGACGACGACCCCAAACATGGTTTGAGGATAACGACGACATTACATTGCTGAAGTTCCCCGACTTGAATCCAATCGAAAATTTATAGAACGAAGTCAGTACACGCCTGACCCACTTTTAAATAGAAACGATTGATGGGAAAAGTTACAAATTGTTGAATTGCGAAAGGTTGATCAATTCGATGCCAAAAAGGATCACTTGCGGGAAATAATTTGGTCAACGAAAGCAAGTTCCAATTACATGTACATGTACGTACGTGTTTGGGTCAGGCAAAAATAGTAAACAATTGAAAGGATACGTATACAATTATTAAAAATACATTTATTTACAATAATTACTCCGTTTTCCCAATACACTCCCTCTATATTATCATATTGGATGTCTGGAACCTGAATATGTCAACATATTCATTAGATATCTTTGATGATTGTTGCGATGGCGAAGTCGACACCTACTGTTGTGATGAGTGTGGAGGAGTTGATGACAATGATGGAGGAGTTGATGCCTTTATTGGTGCCAACTGCTGTGATAATGGTGGAGTTGAAGAAGATGCCATCATTATTGGTGGCTGCTGCTGTAGAGGAGTTGATGACGATGGAGTCGTTGATGATGACACCTTTATTGGTGGCGGCTGCTGCTGTGGAGGAGTTGATGACGACAGAGTCGATGGTGATAATACCCTAGCCACGGCAAAAAAAAGTGCCGGTCACGTGATTTCCGATCATATCCTGACTCCGGCTAAATATCCGACTCAACCAGGGCGACCACCGCATTTGCGGGCCACGTGATAATTTGTTGATGACATCAACAATGCGAAAAAGGGTTAGGTTTTGGATCTGGATCAAGGTTATTTGGTAAACAAAAAATGTACTTATAGTAAAATTTCGTAAGGAACATTTTTTTTGTTAGAACACAAAAGATAGTTTCATAGGCTAGATTTTGAGATACAAGCTTTTTTTTCAAAAATACGCCTTTTGTTTTGTTTAATTTTAAATTTTTGTGTTACACGTTGATCTTGCAATTTAATTGGTCATCATCGCTGACATCATCAAAAAATTATCACGTGGCCCGCAATTGCGACTTCCAGACATAATATTATATATCAGCATTATCGATAATAACCAAGATTGTGCACTGAGAAATTTTCATATTTAAATTGTATTACAATTGCAGATCATGGGACATATTTGGTGACCGATAAAATAATATATAATTTTTTAATGATAATTATAAGCTAAAATACATACTGTTTATATTATTATAATATGAATATTTAATTCTTATTTTATTAGTTAATTCATAGTATAATTTAATTACATAAGATTTTATTATATTTTATTGATTAAAAATTAGTTTTAATTTAATTAGATAATTAATTAATATTTTATTATTGGATCTTTATCTGTATTAACAACAACAATAATATTAATAATACCAACAATATTAACAATGCTAACAATACTAATAATGTTAGTAATACTAATAATACTTGTATAAATATTAAGTAACATTGATAATATTTGTGATCAAATAATCTATAAGATTAATATTGTTAATGAAATTGATTTACAAATTAATAATACAAGTACTACAAGTAATTATTATAAATATAACATGTATTTTAAATAGAATTAAATAAATTTTTGAGCTTTTAGCTTTCTTTACTTTAATAAAAGACTTTAAATCTTCTCACTTAAAGATTTTCATTTGAGAATTCTCATTATATATTTTTTTAATTTTTATTTTTATTTTTGAATTTTGTTTTAACAACCAACCTCTATATTGTTATATAATGAAATTTCACATTAATTATTAGCCAAAATTATCATTTAATCTTATTGGATAATTTTGAGAATACATGTTTATATTTTAATTAGTTAAGATCTTTATATTT